TCTCTCACACGTACTAGCACACTCTCAGTATACCGAACGCGAAGTTGTCAACACCTTGAAGTCCCTCGCGATCAACACGAGCTGTCGGGACAACCAGAACGTCTCAGCCAATCAATCACCTCATCACCATCTTGCACAAGTTCTACTCAATGGCCTGATGATGAGTTAAAATTCTCAAATTAATTGCCATTATAGCTTCAGATTCATGCACATGTAGCTCCTACTCATCATTGCCCCGCCTTGTCCCTGGCCGGGTATTTCCATATATCCATCCTTAAGCAAGCACTACTTGTATACAGCTTTGAAGATACAATCCCACGAGCCAGGCCAGGGACAGCTAGCTACTGACCCCAATCTAAGCAGAGCCAACAATGTCGACAAATCTTTCCTCTCCCCTCGGCACAATCCGGATAGGCACAGTCATCCCCTGCGGCAGCTTGAGCGTCAACATCGTCGACGCCTTCTTCACAGTCTCCCGGCACTTGTCCTGCGCCTTCTTATACAGCTTCCGCCTCTCCTCCGGACCCATGGCTTCCACCTCGGCGTCCGAAGCCCACTCGTCCACCGCCAGCTCAAGGCTGTGCCGCTGAAATACGACTGACAGCGCGGCAATAATTTCGACCTGTGCGATACGCCGCCCCAGGCACGACCGCGGCCCGTCCGAGAAGGGTACGTAGGACCCCCGCACCGGCCGGAACATCTTCTCGCTCGTGTCCGAGCCCCTGTACCCGCCGTAGTCCTCCTCCGCCTCGCCGCCGGTCTTGGCAACGGCCGCTGTCTTCAAGCTGGCCCTGTACCACCGCTCCGGTGCGTAGTCATCCAGGTCGTGATCCGCCCCCGAAATCTTGCTCGGTTTCGACGGCCAGTTCCGCGGGTTCCGGTGCGCCGCCACGCCCACGATGGAAATATCTGCCCCCTTTGGCAAGGCGTACTTCTCTCCGTCCAGCGTAATGATGCCGTCGCCTTCCGGGCTGACCTTCTTGGGGATCTCCACCACCGCCGGCGTCATCCGCAGCGTCTCGTTCATGCAGGCGCCCAGCATGGATGCCAGCATCGGGTTGACCGTGCTCTCGTAGTTCCACGTGCTCGGATCGCTATCACCAAAGATGCCGCCTATATCCTTCTGAAGCTGGCGTTGCACGGCCGGGTTGCAAGCAATCTCAATCAGACCAAAGTGCATCGCGTTCGCCGTCGTCTCGTGTCCCGCAACTAACATGATGAAGGCGTTGCCCGAGATTTCCGATCTGGACAGCTGAGGTATCTTGGACTCCTTTCCCTTTGACAGTGTCCCGTTAATAGCCCCATTGGCATCCGTTCCGTCCCCGTATTTTGATCTCACAAGCTGGCCCATGAGGTCCATGCCGGCGTCGCCGTGGTCGCCGTTCTGCAGATCCTCAATCTTGTCCTGCATCAGCTCGTCGATGTACTGAACATAGTTGTCGTGCGAGTCAACGGCCTGTTTGGTGTACTTGAAAGGCAGCAGCTTCAAAACCTTGTGCGGCACAAGTAACAGAACCAAGATATGTTCCAGCATCTCGGCAATGGCATCGGCAAAGCTCATCGTGTGTCCCGGGGCCGCCTCGAGCGAGCTGTATTTTGTAAGTTTCGGGTCTGCTCCCTCGGGCAGTGACTGTCCCGGCCAGAGCAGGCGCATTCCGAATCCCACGTAGCTGATAATGTTGAGGGCGAGCCGCATCGTATCATGATCCAGCGTCTGGATAGTCTCCTTGCTCTTTTCCCCCGCTGGACCTAGCCACTTGCGCGTCATGCTCTGCGCCTGCTTGATCGACTCGGCAAAGACGAGGGCGGCGTTCTTTTCGTTGAAGGTCGCGGATGTGACCTTGCGGTGCATGCGCCAGACGGCACCCTCGGTGGTCAGGACATTGTCACCAAACTGCTTCAGGATAGCGTACGTCTCAACGAGCTTTGGGAACTTTTCGCGCTGTTGTGTGATCTGGTGAATAGCTTCGGCGCTATCGGTCAGGACGAGGATCTGGAAAGCCGATACGATCATAAAGGTCTCGCCAATGCGTGCGAAGGGCTTGTGAAGTAAGTTGTAGGACCAGTTCGGGATGAGGAGTCTATTCGCAAAGTATTGGGATCAGCAGGGGCGCCGCAATAGACGAAGCGGTCCAGTCAGGTAACTAACTCGAGCCAATTTTCCCACCACGATTTCGGGAAACACTTGATGATGGGTATCCAGAACTTGTGGGTGAGCTGCCATATTATTGAAAAGGGCGATGCGGCTTTCTCATAGTCAGTTCTCACGCCAAAGAAACATTGTTGACACCTTGAACACGTACGGGTGACGATATATGGCAAGCCGACTTTCTTTGCTTCTGCTATATTGCGTTGCAGGCCAGAGACGTAGGTATATACTCCATAGGCGACCACAGCTCCAACGAGCACAAAGACTGACGATACCATGTTGGTGCCAAGTGCTCTGGGGGCATTGAATTGGCGAAATGTTACCCAGGGGCCGACGGCAGCACGAGGATATCCCAAGTGAAGTCTGATGATGACAATAGCTTATCGCCCGTTGGATACAATGAGGTCAATGGGAAGAGGGGTCCGAGACCAGTCGAAGGCCCGGGTCGGTTTGATAGTCTCTAGGTCTTGAATATCAAATCCGGGGGAGGAGTCCGATGCCTGCACGGCAATAATAGGATGCTATAAGACGAAGTGAGTTAAGAAAGTCCCTCGACGACAAGAAGGAAAAGAGAAGGAATGCAGAACAAAAAGAAGAGCTGACACACATCTGTCATGGAAGAAACAAAAGAAGGACCGGAAACGTCGATGGAGGCGGGGGCCCCATCTGGGAAGCCCCAAGGTGCAGGCAGGTAGGGGTCGAAGCTCTGGTTTCGGGTCTTGCGTCTCCGAAACTAGCAAATACCCCCTACCCCATTATGGCCCATCTCGTGGTTGAGTTGGAGTCTTGGAAAGGAGCTTAGCTTTTTTAGCTTAAGAAGAGACCCTTGCAATCTAACCTTTTGTTCACACGAAGCCATTTGGCAATTAGTGGCATGTGATTTGCTGTGGTGGAAATACACATGGAGCTTTGAGGCAGCTGTCCGATGAGCATCTAGCTACCTTGGCCATGTTACGTCGAAACGTGATGATGAGGTGACAAAGAGCTTGTTTGTCTCTCTTGACACCCACTGAGGTCCGATATTGCCCATCGAGTTTGCTCTCTGAACAAACAAGGAGACGTCATCGCCAATGAGGATTGCTCATCGCAAAAAGTCAAATGCGAGGTCTACAGTTTGTTCATATAAAACTGGTTGTATTCAACTCGCATTCATCCATGTCGAGACACACCACCCACCGGGCCAGGGAGCTGCAGCTGCAGCGAGACACAGGGGCCTGGGCTTGTTGGGTTTCCAGCGGGGCGGGTCCAACTCCGCGCGGAAGGAGTCGTCTCCTTGTTTCCTCCCCCCAAGACATGCTGCAGGCCGCTATTGGTGGCGGCATCTCACCGCACCTAAACCCCCTGGCCGGCAGAGTTGTCTCCTGCAGGAACTGTGACAGCTGCATTCCAATGGGTAGGGGTGCCTGCCGACTGGGCAATCTGATATAGGACGTATTAGACGGTAAACAACTTCGGACAACCTCCCAAGTAACAGACGAGAATTCATGGATGGTATAAAATATTTTGCTCGAGGTCCGGAAGTTCTTCGGCCGGCGCTGGGTGTTTGATCGAGAGACATGGCGGTGGGAGGAAGGACTCGGAAGAGGGGGGCCGCCCGAGGTGCGCCGCCCAAGGGGCCAAGACATGCACGGCAGGTATCAGGTCGAGGCTTGTCTCGGCAGCGCCCGGCGCGGGACCAGGGGTTCTTATTCATGGCACAAAACGTCGACAATAAGCAATCTTCGAAGGGAACCTCACGACTATTGTACATTTTGAACTCAATCACAGCGCCTTGTAGCCGATCGTTGTCTCCAGCTCCATGACTGGCGCAAGCGAGCCACCTACATAAGGATCGGACTTTCGAGGGAAATCACTCGACACAAATATCTATCTATCTATCTATCTATCTATGCAGCGGTACCTGCAATGAAAAGCCGTCTGTCTATTTTGCATCAACGTTATGTCGTGCTGGCGAATCCAGAGCTATCGGCTATACGGAATAATACGGCAGCAAACAACTACGCAGATCCTTTGGCTTAAGAGCTAAGATGGGTATCAGGACTTTGCGATACTCTATCGATTTTTTCCGAACTCGATGTTCCTCCTTCTCCCCTGTTCGGCATATCATAGGTCTTGTGCCATATCTTGATCATGGTGGCAGGCCTTGTCGGCAATGGCACATAGTCAATTCAACCACACTACTTGCACGTCTAAACTAGTTGCTTGTCAAGAATTGCGATACCGACAGGATACTGACTCTGACTCGACTTGTCTATACTCGGCCTCTTAGTGCGCCGAGCGCGAGAACCGATCAAACTATAATTGATGATGTCCACCTCGAACTTCGGCTTTACAACACCCCAACTGTCTGGAAGAGTCAGCCGTACACGAGGTTCGTTTACTAAGCTTCAGAACTCCCCTTCTGGCGTGTAGATCGTTAATTAAAGGGGACGTTCGTAAGAAAGTACCGGAGTAGTCCGCTGGACTTTGTATATTGCGATGCCCTCAAGTCTCAAAGTCATGATATAGGACATCGGGATAAGCTTTTTCTGCTCAGTATTCTCTCTAATTCCCGCATACATCCAGTCCAGCCATTCAAGAACACAGGTATTCGGCGGACGTGACCACGTTGATGACTACTCCTTTCAAGACCAGCGGGCCGTCGTATAAATTACAGCCAACGGGCGTCCGTACTAATGACCGTCGGTCTCTACTCTCACCTCCACACGGCCTAGCTCTTCTACTCGTTCACTCTCTTTTGCCTCCACATACCCGTTTCGTAAGAAATCTCACATAGAGTCGTCCTTTCACAAGACACCCCACAGGCTAAAGAGCAGCATTCTCTCCCAATATCTGTACCGGAACACCAAAGATGCGTCTCACAACGACCGCCATCACCGCCGCCTTGCTCTGCGCAAGCGCAACCCTCGCCCAAGCCTGCTCCCCTGGCTTCTCCTCGAACCGCAACCTCTCCCCTGGAGACTTCGCCTGGCTCTTTGCAGACTACAGCGTCGACGACGTAGCCGGATGCAGTAGCCGCTGCGCCCGCAGTTGCACCGCTCCGGGCAAGAAGTACGGCTCCTGCATGGGCTGCGCCAGGTGGAAGGGCAACGCCCAGGGCAGAATGGACCTTCCGCCGTGCAGCAAGCCCATTACGACGGATAATGACGACGGCGAGTACGAGTGTCACGGATACGGCGATGGTTTCTGGAACTGTATTACGCCATGCCCTCCTGGGTATGAGGTATGTGTTTGATCCCCTGAAGCATTTGTGGAATGCGTTTGTGGCGAATGAATGCTGATAGCTGTCCCAATTAGTCCAAGGATTTGGGTCGTATTCAATAAATATCGAATCGTCGAAAGACTTGTAACATTCTTAAAAGCCGAGCCCTGTTTTGTGCTCTGGATAGCGCTGCTATTAATCCACAAAGACTCATGTAGAGCCATAGATTGCATGATTCCTCTTCCACGATTCCCAACTCCGGGATAGAAAACCCCCCGTGACCAGAACTCAGTGCAATTTGAATTGCCCGCTAACACCTTCGAAGCTCGTAATTTTCCCGCCCAGCGATTTGGAATCTCCATAGTAGCGGAAGCGGTACGTCCCCGGCTTCGCATCGCTCTCCGTCCCCCATACAATCTCAACCTCGCTCGTGGCGAGTATGTCGCTCGTCCGCTTCCAGTGGAAGATCAGATTCCAATCGTAGTCGGTTCGCACAGTGTCCCATCTCTTGATGGCTCCCTTGTCAATGGTTGATCTCTCGACAGCTGCGTACGTCTGTTCCAGGCGCAAATTGTTACGCGGATTGGCTCCGACGAATGTGGCTCTCACGACGTCCCCGATGGCGTAGTTTTCCTCAACGTCAGTCTTGACGTCGCCGAAGCTGCGGAAGACGGGTGTGCCGTCTCGCACTACGCCAGTGATGAAGCTCAGGGAGCGGTTAGTGTTGTCTGGGGGATAAGGTCCTCCAGCGTGAGCAGGAGGTCCTTTGGCGAACGAAGCTCCCAGCGTCGGGAGATAATTGAGCGTTTGGTTAATGTACGCATCCAGCGTGTAAGGACCATACAGAGTTGAGGCACCCTCGTATCGTTGTATTCTGTCAAAATTAGTGCCGAGCTCTATAGAGTGCCACGTATGAGAGCTTACCCGTATTCCTGTGGTGTTGTAATGTAATGAGTGTAACTATTTGCTGGTCCCCCAATCACCACGACCGGTTTCGCATCAGTCTCTTCAGCGAACAAGGACTCGGCCTGGTGTTTGACTGCATCTTTCCATCGCCTTCCCGCCATGGTCGAAGCCTCTCCCGGGCTGACAATAATAATCAGCTGGCCCACTCTGAATGTCTGAATGTCTACAATGTTGGGTGTCCATTGGTATGGGCTGAACACTTCGCCAACATCAAGTAGAATGGGTTTGGGAGAATGACAGGCGATTTGGTCTTCTGTTGGTGCTTTCAACAAGCCCCCAACAACCTTCCATAGTGGGTTCGTATTAGTCGAATTTGAGTCGTGCTGGGTGAAGTCGAACGCCCCAGGACCATCAGAAGTTCCCGCTGCGAATGAGTAGCCCAAAGCCGCAGGGCAGGTTCTCACTTCCGTTCCGTTGGGAAGCTCGAAGTGGAACTCTGACATGTTGTGAAAGGCATGAAAAGATTTGACCCATGAGCCACGAACTCGCTGCGACTTGAATCCCATGTCGTCAAATAGCCTCTTAGCAGCAGTGTACTGCCTCTTGCCGATCTCAAAGCAGGACGAAGCACCTTCATCCTTCTCACGGAACAATGGGCCTCTGGCGTGACACTTTTGGCTCTTCCCGTCACTGCAAGTGCTTGTTTTGAAGTCGCAAGGCTCGCCGGTATCCTCGCAGAAAGCGCCTAGCACATTTGGACTCACGTCGCCCACATTGGCCTGGGAGAATCCAGCGACGAATCCCTTGGTCGCATCAGACGACTTTCGCATACTTTTCTCAAATAGCCATGCTGCCACTCCCTTGTTGTCTCCTGAAATGAGAGTGTTGTTGCCGAGCATGGATGTGCCGTGGGTGGGAAACCACGTTAAGGCACCGATACTTTTCCCGTCTGACGCTCGTTGGAACTTGAGTAATGTCAAGTCTTTCTCAACAGACCCGTCATCCTCAGCGCTGACGTTGTATTTGGCACGTTCTTCTTCCGAATTCGCCATGTACGAGTACAGACTGCGGTTGATGTTTGCGCCAGTGACCTTTGTTGAGCCAATACTGAGATGGCCCGGCTCTAGGCTGTCATGTGCGCGACGGATGGCCAGCAAGGTACCGTCAACGATGGCTCTGTAACTTTGCTGGTCGAAGCCTTTGCTTGTGATCTGCGGTAGAAGATAGTTGAGCCAGGCACCCGGGCCAGAGTGCGAGTGTGTCCCGGTCAGCGCCAAATTGTGATGTCCATACATGGAGTAGTCGAAGCCCAGCTCAGCGAGCCCGTGAAGTACACCGTAACGAACAGCTGTGTCTCCCGACTGTGTGTCAAGCACGAGGTAGATAAACCTGTCGTTGCGTCGTTTGGTGCTTCCTACGATGAAAGCTCGGGCATATAGTCTCTGTCGAAGGCCGGTGCCAAGCTGTTTGGGGTCTGCGTAGCCCATCATGTTGATTTCCACAACCGGGCCGGTAATGTCGGCTCGGCCAGCACCGACAAGATACAAGTCATTGTCTGCATCGATGTCGGATTCATTGAACTCCCCGAGAAACCATCTGTCCGTATCGATGAAGCTGTCCCGATGGGTATGAAGTCCGTAAACAACCAGAAATGATAGAATGAAGCCGACAATGCAAACTAGAGCTCTCCGGGAGCTCGGTGGGGAACTTGTTTGAGACGCCGCCGGCAAAGCGGGTCTCTTTTCGGCGCTCCGTTCTACAGGCATAGTATCCAAGCCTGGAAGAAATGGGGTATCAAAATGACATGGATGAAGTGAAGTGTAGAATATGAAAATGAGAATGGATCACGGGACAAAATAAGGTGTTAGCGTCAAGCCTTCGAGAGCAGTGCGCCGCCAGGCAGTTGCGACACGGAACGTCCGGCCGGACCTCTAGAGGTAAGGGAGGGGCGGACGAATGACGCACGCAGCACGAAATTGTTAGTGCACGACTCACGAACGCCAATTCTTACCCTGATGGCCATCCCCATATTGAGTCGAAGTTCATTCTCTGATACTGCTCACAAGCATTTGACTTGTAAGGTCAAACTTTTGAAGATTCGTCACCTTCAAACACGGTCACATATGAAGTCCTGGCTATGAGAGCCAAAATGCTATATTCATGAAAATAATAATTACTAAGCGACGCGCAAGATGTAGCTTCAGAGGTAAAGTCCGGAGTCTCAAGCGTAACAAATTGAAGTAGACATAAACAAGATACAGTCGGGTACTATATTTCAAGAGAAAAAAAAAGGCGTCGTTGCTTCCGTAGGGTTCGGTCCTCCTCCAATTTCCCATAGACCAGGTCTGATAGAGCATCAGATTAGCAGCTCAATAAGAGCCGGGGCTGTAGCAAGCCCGAATTCTAGTAATACTTGGGGTTCTCGGGGTCAGTCAAATCGAAGATGACCGATGAGTGAGGTCGAGCACCGCCACGGTCGCGAGTGAAGATGCTCTCAAAGTCGATTGATCTGTTGAAGCTGAGGCTTCCGTCAGGCAGAATGTCGAGCCAATGACCCTTGTAGTCTCCAGGTGTGTTGACAATGGAAATCTGTCACGAATAATATGTCAAAAAATCACTTCCATACAAGAATGTCAAATATGAACAAGTAACGCGTGACTCACATCACCACCCTGCACAAAGTATCCAGTGACGAGCAGGTTCTTCTTATCCGGGCTGATCTTGACGTAGTGAGGTCCAATGATTGGCTGCGTCTCGTTGGGGTCATCCAGTCTCTTGATGTTGTTCAGGTCGGCGATGTCGAGCGCTGCAATGTGGTTGCCCAGAGTGATAGTGAAGTATGCAAATTTGCCGTCATCGGTAATGTCCGAGTAGATGGCCAACGAGTCCTTAGCTTTGGAGCCCAGGTCAAAGAGAAGCTCGGCAACGCCTTGCTTCCCAGACGAATCGCGGCGGAACGGGTAGATGATCCAGACTTGGCCTGGACCGACGGCTGTGGCAATGGCAGCGCTCTCAGGGTTGCCCGGGATGAACTTGACATCTTGAATGCCCAAGCCCTAGAACCCATTAGATCTGCGTAAGTCATACTGAAGTTGAGGAAATACTCACAGCAGGGATTGTAATGGTCGAGATGATTGTTCTGTCGGACAAGTTCCACAGGCGAAGGGTGCTTGCTTTCTGGATTCCCAACGTCGGCTTGAGAATTGTGATAGGCACGACGAAGTCTGAAGTCAAGATAATTCCCTTGTTGAAATCCACAGCCAGTCCGTGGGGACTGAACTGCTCGCCGAGAATGTTGAGTGTTCCAGCGACATCCTCCGGCCATTCATGGATAATATCGCCCTCTGCGTTGGTCTCGACCAGACGGCCGGGAGAGGTTCCAACAGCACTGCCCATGTAGGTGATGAAGAAGCCACTAGTCAAGGTTAAGGGTCAGCACTTCTCATCTTTCCTGGAAACGTTCGGAAACGACAGGAATCATGGCAAGGACAAAGTGATGACATGTAGTGGTGGTGACTTACCCCTCTGGCTTGGCGCGGATCTCGTCGACAATAGAACTCAGCAGAGCTCGGTTAGACTTCTTGAACTTGGGAGCATAGGGGTTAGAGACATCAAAGTAGAAGGCCGTGTCCTGAGTCTTCAGCAGAGACAGTAAACCACCTCCAATGAGTGTCTTACCATCGAGAGAGCTACCCAGGTGGTGAGGAGAGTTTCCGCTCGTGGGCACATCGGTGAGAGCAATGATCTGACCAAAGGTGTCCTAATAGGCGAGAGCGGTTGTAAGTATGGCTCAACACGCTGGGTGTTAAAGTAGAGACAGAGGCATTACTCACATCATCCAAACTGGCAGTAACCAAGAAGTCCTTGTGGATGTTGTCGCCGGCTCCAGTCCAGAAGTAGCCAATCTTCTTCGGCTTTATGTTGGCGCCGGTGAAAGGAGGACTCTCAAGAGGAGGCGTTGGGATTTGAAGGATGGGGAGAGGAGGAGCGTTGGAGGCCAGAGGCTCGGTGACTCCCGGGATAGAAGGAATCAGAGGGGGCAGACTGATCCCTAAAGGACTTCTCTTGCTGGCAGGAGAGTGGTCATTGCCATTGACTGGCCCTGCTGCCGCGGGAGAGCACAGGAAGCCCGTGAGAGCTGCCAAAGAGATCTTAGAAAGCATCTTGAGATAATTGAGCTGCTGATAATTATTTACTGAAACCCAAGAAGTCTGATTGTTTGAAGATGTTCCCAACACCAGAATACGGGCACTTATCTATTCTTCTTATACTCCATCGTGAGCTGCAATAAGGGCCGTATGTCAGCCAACCGCTTCTCTTCTCTGGACGTGAACTCACTAAAAAATCACATCATGAAGCCAATAAACCTCATCATCTACGCTATTGTCGAAGGAGAGTATGTCGTGAACCAGAATGGTAATCAAGGTGCACCTAACAGACCTTCTCAGAGCCATGCAGCGTTGGAAAAATTGCCTGAACATGTCTTTGCCAAGAAGTCGGGACTCACACATTGCCTATCACAATCCAGAGATCCTTAACCTCTAGCTCATCGTGGTCACATCTTTTTCCTCAAGAGGGAAAATTGCAATGTCGTGATCGTTTGAAGCACGGAAACTTGGGCGCCCGGCGAGCTCGACGTGTAGAGTACACTTCTTGACGATGTCTTGACTTTGTGTCAAGCAACGCTAGTGTGGCCCAGTGCTTCGGCATTGGAGGGAGAAGTAAGCTTAACGAATTTCAAGGAGTTGATCGACACTAACGGCGACCACGCGAATAGCCATGTGAGATGAAGAACTGCAGATCGTCTCTCAACTGGACGACGTAGGTGCTTTGTTTGTAGGATTGACAGGGGCGAGATGTACCAAACTCAGACATATATCGATAGTACCGAATGGCATCATATGTAACGAATAGAACTTCGGGTTCATGTAAATATTCAAGACGGATAATCCCATTTCCGCATAAGATCTCAGTGAGGCTGAACGGCAAGGGACGTTAAGGCATGCAACGGGGGCGCCTCTGGCTCTGCCGCTGCGTCGGGCATATCAAACCTTAACTTCTCTAGCCTGGCAGAACGGGTTCCAAAGAAGATGAACCAGAAAGGATGATGGCGATCTTGGACAGTTTGGTAGAGCTACGATCGAATAGCGTGTTTGTGCTTGACTAGTATGCGGTTCGAGTTGAACAGCCATTCTCAAAGCATTTACACACTGCCGGGCTCAACGTTCAGAAGATAGTAGACTGATTGGGATTACCAAAATTCACTATGTCAGAAGAAGACGTGACCTTGGATTTCCTGTCAACAATTTCTCTGCCATGCCATTTCTATATCTTGTTTGAATTGTCAAAAACGTTCGATCTCTTGAGCATGCGGTCAAGGCGAGAACCACATTAAAGATTCTTGTATTTTTCTGTCATATTTTCGCCATGTGATTTGACATGATCTTGACATTTCAGATGATTTACCTCTATTTGAACCTAGATCATGACTTTGACCCGGCCTTGGAGCGCAAAACTTGGGCCTGTGATGAAGAAGATTATCACAAACAGGCGGGTAACATTCAAGCCAATATCTGCAGTAAGACAAGATCAAAAGTAAATTACCATAGTCCACCGCGTCAAAGTAAGCTTCAATCAGGCTAGTAAGATGCCTTCGATGGTGATCAGCGCCTAAGCAGCCTTTCCCCCGCGCTTTCCCACGATGTCGTTATTTTCGGACATATGTCGAATGGCCGGGGTCTAGCCTAGCGGCATACCCGATTCAAAGACAACTGCAGTCGATCCTTTAGCCAATATCACACCAACACCCATCGAACACCCATCGAACACCCATATGCACTCTTGATTTTTAGGGGAAAATGCCGGCGAGACTCGAATTGGGAAAGTCAATAGTATCGACCGGAAAGCAACGATGCCGTTGCATGGTCAATGTCGTCATCACGAACCGTTGCTTTTGCAGCTGCAACTTCAACGCTATGATTACTCGATTCGTTGAACGTGATAGTATTGAAAATTCCGCCATCGCGTCGGAGGAAATGAAGTATGTTCTTGCGAACTTGGAGGCAGTATCCTGAAGGTTAGACGCACTTATAAAATACACTTTGCAGATTATCCTCCCTGCGCTGTTTCGTTTCATTTCCCACACTCTGCACCTCCATCACAAGTCGATTCTTCATTACCTGAAAGAATGAGACTACTCCAGACCTCCGTGGTGGGACTCGTCGGTCTCGTGGCCATCACGAGTGCCTCGCCCCAAGTTGTGAAGAGAGACGCCCAATTCAACGTTGGACAGCCCATCGACGCCAACGGCAAAGGGGGTCCGATTTTGGGTAAGTGACTCGGAGCTCACTTCTCAATGCCTGACCAGACTGACGAAATGACACAGGCGGCACGAACAACGCAATCGACAGAGAGAACCCAGATAATCTCGGCCGGCAGTCCACTGACAGCGGCGTGGTGCCGAACCTGAAATGGAGATTCTCTGATTCCAAGACCCGTATCCTTAACGGAGGCTGGGTCCGCGAGCAGGTCATTCAGGATCTGCCTCAAAGCCACGATATAGCAGCGGCTCAGCAGCATCTCAAGCGCGGAGCAGTGAGAGAGCTGCATTGGCATAAGGTTGCGGAGTGGGGTTTTGTGTACTCTGGCTCAATCATCATCGGAGCCGTCGGTGAAGACGGAAAAAGCCAAGTTGAACAACTCAACTACGGAGATATCTGGTAAGACCTGAAATGAGAAGTCGAAGAGCACTACATGCTAACCTTGGTCCTAGGTATTTCCCTAAGGGTGCTGCTCACTATGTCCAAGGAGTTGCTGAAGAGTCCGAGTTTCTCTTGGCCTTCGACGAAGCCGACTTTGATAAGATTGGGTTGGTGCATTCTCTTCTACTTGAAACTCGTGCAAGGACAGTCAACTGACCATTCAATAGAACCACCTTCAACATTGTCGACTGGCTAGCCCACACTCCAAGAGACATCTTGGCCAGGAACTTTGGCGTCAATGCTTCCATCTTTGACAAGCTGCCCGCCACGAACCCGTACATCTTCAACGGAACGGTGGCAACCACGAACGTGACAGTTCCACCGGGGCAGTACCTATCTGGCAACAGTTCGTTCGTTTACCGCACTTTCGAGCACCCGCCCGAGAAGGTTCCCGGCAACGGCGGCGAGTTCAGGAAGATTGACTCTACCAACTTTCCCATTGCCAAGACCATTGCTGCCACTTTTGTCACCCTGAAGCCTGGCGGGTTGAGGGAGCTCCATTGGCACCCTAACGCAGAGGAATGGCTCTACTTCCACAAGGGCAAGGGTAAGGCGACTGTGTTTATCGGAAGTGCAGCGTCGAGAACCTTTGACTTGGAGGCGGGAGACACGGCTGCTTTCCCAGATAACAGCGGGTGAGTACATCATGAGTCTCGAGGAAGTGGAGTATGCCGTTACTAATTCGTTGCATAGACATTACATTGAGAACACCTCTGACACGGAAGACTTGGTATGGATTGAGTTGTACAAGTCTGACAGAGTCGTGGACATTTCTTTGACCCAGTGGCTTGCTCTCACACCGCCAGAAGTTGTCGCGCAGACTCTCAAAGTGCCGTTGGAGTTCGTCAAAGACTTGAAGCAGGAGAAGCAAATCCTCATCTGATCAGTGTGATATCTGCATGCAAAGGATATTGACTACGGTTTTGTTGTGAGATTGGTCTGCTTTCTCACCCTCTACTTGACCTGTCCGCTTCCATGGCTAGATGAGTACAACGCAAATAAGATATGAATGAAGAGAGACGAGATCAATCGAAGAAGACCGCAAAGACGATGAGAGATATGCTGTGCTGGAAAGAAGTGCTATGGATAAGAGATTATTGATTATAATTTTCAACGGCGATGAAGCTAGCGTTGTAACAGTTCTACTTCTTAGGACCTTTTACTTAGGTTTTGTTGTAATTACTAGTTCCCCCCAAATCATTACCTGACCATAATAACTCAATTGCTCACAGAGCTATCTAAGGGTGCAAGTGGGTGGGCAACCATCACGAGGTCACGATGGCATCCAGCGACTCATGTTTCGCACTTGAACCTGCAAAGCAACGAAAGCCTGATAAGCGGGGAAACAGAGGGAGATACAAGGGAATTAAGCGCCTCGACGCCAAAAGTCCGAAAGCATCTCCAACTCCATCATTTCCCCAATTGAGAGGTAGACGGGAGACGGGAACGGAAAATTCGGTAGGATGGCAGCACGCGTTATGCAGGCAACCCCCGGCGGACCAGAGCCGGAAACTCTATCAGCGAACTAGTACAGCAGCCCTCTGGTCAAGCCGTATCAGTGTGCGGTTACTTATGTCGTGCGGACAATGAGGGGTGGGAAAGGTTATGGGCCGTCAACTCAACCCATGCGAGTAGCCTAGAACACTCCAATCACGCGGAATCGTATGATTGGGGACAGATCGTGTAGTGGTGGATGAAGCCATTGGCGAAAGGGAAGGGTTGCAGAAAAGCATCATCCCATTGACCGCTCGTGAGCGTTTGGCCGTCCGCCATCACAGCGAACCTTCCTTGGGTCGTTCCATCGTATCATGAGCTGCCTCGGCGAAGCACGGCGGAAACGGGACGGCCACTTTCGATTTGGGGGGCATGCCACATGGTCGTGTGAAGGAGGAATAAGAAACGCTGGGACGATCGGCCAAGCCACCCCTCGTTCGGTCTGGTTTAGTAGTTAGACGGCAGTTGTTCCGAAGCAATCACGACTTGGCCCAGAGTTGAGACCACATTGGGGGCGGAATGCGGAGAGGCAAGACTATAGACACTCGAGACAGTGGTTTCCACACAGCATCGAACTCTCTAGATGACGGAGTGTGTGTATGACTATCGAACGAGGATGAGCTCTGGTGTCGTTATCGATTCTCCCTGACCGGTATGGCAGGGATGGCAGCTTTACGTCACCCCGATGCCTTCTCAGTGCTATATTAGACCCGGGGGATCATCCCCTCCATTGGCTAGGCGTCGCACCTGGGATTGCTGTTTACCAGTCGAAAGGCTGATAAGGCATCGAGATGAAGGCCCTGGAGGTCGCCATGACGGGCAAAAGGTCAGGGAGCTTGGATCCGGTTGTCTTAATAGCGTCGACCGGATATGCGACCGCGGGTCGGCCGCAGGTACCACGGACGGCAGATAGGAATGGAAGCCAACGAAAGACGGAGCATTGATACAGGTCGATCTGATGACCGTGCTCATCTATCGAGACCCTGAAGGATCGCCAGGGAACCGATCAGGGACATCAACTTGTTCTTCTTGGATTTCGTTTGCCTCTGGGGAGACTAAGCGATCTCTGGTCCAAGAATTTACGTCGCATTCTCTGTGTGGCAGTGCTTGAACACGACCGACACGGCACGAGGGAAAGACGAAGCCTGAAGGTCGTGGAGAAACAGCTCATCCCTTCCGCATGGGGTCGGGGCCAAGAAGTCAAGTGAACAGCTGGAGGGTTTCCGGTAGGACGGCACGCTGTGTCATCGGTAACGGTTACGCAGCCCGCGGTGGAGACGCGTTGCTGGTGCCGGGATGCTGCATTGGTCAAGAAGAGTGACAAACGAGAGATTGGGCTGGTGGTACCCGTACGGATGCCAAACATATCTTCTCGGGCCAGAGGTAGAAAGGATTATGTTAGGGGTTGAGATAGGGAGAAGATGATGGATTGGTGACAACCTGAGTCTGCGAGACTCGAACTCACTCGACAGTCCCACGAGTGTTCTTGGGAGACAACCAGCAACATGTTCAGCAAATTGCAAGGTCAACCATGTCTCGTCGCGGAAGCAGTCCCTAGCAGGCACCTACGGGCAAGTAGGGACCTTTCTATGTTGCGACTGTTCCATGAAAAGACGTCGCCGCCCCGTTATTTGTGTGTCATCGCGACCCGGCCAGAGTTGGGCCTAATGGGGCCGGATGGGCTGGCACAACAAGGCATTGCGCTGCAGAACGAGGTTAATTACATGGCATATTGTCTATTAACGGGGAATAGGAATGGGTAGCCTAGCAATAACACAGACTGTAGACATTCATGCAGCCTCTGTGAATGGGCAGTTTGTCGATGGGATGGGCACTTTCTCCCGCAGAACAGAATCTGGATCTTTTCCTCGACCTGTACCCTTCTTTTCCTCATTGTCCCTCTGCCTGTTTTTCTCTAGTCTTCCTTATGCTTTGCGCTTCCTTCCGGTGCACAGAAACCAGATGAAACCAAAAACTTTCCAGCTCGCATGGTTAGGTAAGGTATCCATAGTCTGTAGACATGGAAGTTGATGGCAGTGGTCTTAATCCACCACATCCTCGAACCCAATTGCCCTACCCTGCCTGACATGTCAATTTTTTTCCCCTTTTTTTCCCATTCACCCGTTCCAACTTCCAGTGCCTCTGACCATTTTTGTGCTGTTGCTCGAGATACCTTACCTTGGCGTCCATATTGACCTTGCGAGGTTTGAATTACATATCAGCAAGGTACTTTTACAGTAGTTGTAGAAGAAGAGTCACGCTGCTGTTCTAAGTGCAACCCCGATAGGTAGGTAGAGCAGTAGAGGTACGGTACTCCCTAAGGTACTCCGTCTAGAGTACGTACTTCACTCCAGCCGGCTCGCTCTGGCATTGGGCCGGCCTGACTTCACTGTCAAGCTCTCAGGTGCCCCCTCTCCCCAAAAAAGAAAGGGGCCCCGCAGAAAACCGCACCCGCCGCCTTACAACCCACCTGCACCTCCAACTCCCGTCACAAGTCGCACCTGCATCCCACTTCCGTCTGTCTACCTTACCTACCTCCAACCGACCTCCTCCCCGACTTCTTTCTTCCACCGATCTTTTTTTCCTTTCCTCTTGTTCACATCGCGTGTCTCTATCGAGAAGAATAAAATCACCTTCACCAAGCGCGAAACCAACCGACAAGATGAACCCTCTTCAGAAGAACAAGGTCGACGTCTCGGTACGTTCAATCCAGCCACTCGCTACCCAATGCCCCACCTTGGAAACGAAGCCCGCGATGGCATCACGGCTTGCATGACCGACCAATTCTCACTGCGTTGTTTGTCGAATTCGGTACTGACCTCTCTCTTCACAGTCCCTTTCCCCCGAGGAACAGCGTCTCTTCCGCCTTTACGGCAAGCTCCCCTCTCGCTCCGACCACTTCGCCAAGCACTTGAAGGACCGCAAGTACTTCGATTCTGGCGACTACGCCATGTCCAAGGCGGGCAAGGGCGACAGCGTCGATACTGGCGCCGTCGGATCCCAGCACCCCGTTCCCGAGAACATCCCCCATCTCTCGAGCCCCGTCAACAACTCCTCGTCCTCCCTTAACGGCAACAAGCACCACGGCAGCATCGCCGCCGGTGCCCACGCCGGCAGTCCTGTCAAGGAGGCAAGCTTCCTCAACAGAGAGACCAGCGCTGAAGAGGCCGAGCTTAAGGACCAGGAAAACACTTCTCCAGTCGACGGAGCCGCAAAGACTGAGGCTATCCCTATCCGGAGATGAGGGCCCTGCGGGATCTTTTCGTCTATACTCTCTCCCTTGTCCCAAGTTTCGTAAGAGTGTTGTTGACACTACACGACGGAAAATTGGGTTGTTTCATGGGGCCGAATTTCTACTACGATGTTATGATGCTGTGTTGATGTTTTCACGGGTCTCCTAGGCGTTAGAATGGGGTTGGGAACCAAGTACAAATGGTTGTTGAATGGACTGAGACGATTGTCTCTGAGAATGTCTGCTGTGGAAGGACTTGCAGATTACGACGCTCTCAAGGTCGCGCTACTGGATATCCTGTCCGTGATGTACGGCACTATTGCGAAGACTGAAGCTTTTCCGTACATGGCTTTTTTTTTAAGGACTGAAGCAGGAGGATGAAAGAAGAACGACAGGCATATGGCGGCAACTAAATCGAGACCCCCTACGTCTTTACTGTATGCGCTCATGGCAGCATTTGTGTTCTTCATCAAACTATTCACTTCGCAGAGGAGGGTCGTGTGCGCAGATACGGTCCTTACGAGTGACTGCCTTGTTTTGTTGTCGCGGGCGCTCACGTGCTCCTCTCTCGGACACCCAGCTCTCGTCTGCAGTCCTATGGAGGCTCTCTGCCTGCTGCAACAGCTTAGAGTTGTTAGTTAGCTCGACCCGAGCACGTCACAAAAATGCCCTTAGCTTTCATTATCAAAATGACAACGTTGCGGGAACCCAATCTATTGATGAGCAATGAGACACTTCTTTTGATGCCATACGCCGTTCCGTATCCCTGTAACCTTCCTCCCAGTGGACAATCTCTGTAGGTGCCCTTTTTCACAGATCCAGCCCCTTGATCGCCATATCCTTGGCGCCTTCAAAAGTCTTGTTTCCTCCAATGAAGCCGGCAGCGTGGACAAAGACGCAGCCGGGGATGCCAGAGATGCCGTCCAGTTCCGCATCTCTGAATCCGCGCCACGCCTCGGGCAAGGGTTTGCGGCTCTCGAACGAGTCCTTGGTAACGGGCACCGCCTGCACACGCCACTTGGCATCGGGGGTTGGCTTCTCGGGATACAGGACGTACACCACCGAGGGGTTGCCTCCCTCGAGGGAGTAGAGGTGATCCTTCCAGGGTGCGCTCTGGCCCTCGAGGACGAGCACGCGGCCTTGGGGGTCGTACTGGGTGCGCTTCTCGAAGGCGGCCTGCACGACGGCGCGGGCGGGCAGCCAGGCCTTGGTGTAGTAGTCCAAGTCGGCGTCAAATTCCTCGCCGATGCGGCGGCTGGCCTTGACGAAGCGCTCGTCTTCGAGCTTCTGGGCCTCGACGGGGTCAGAGGGGACCGGGTCGTTCCAGTTAGGGTTCAGGCGGCCGACGACGGAGCCGAGGGTGAAGGCGCCCTCGCTGAAGCGCTTCTCGAGACCGGCGGCGGCGACGGCCTTGGGGTCGTAGACGGAGATGCCATTGTCATGGGCGTCCAGGGCCTCGACGAAGCTCTCGTACAGCTTGTTCCATAGTAGCTCGACTTCGGCGCTGTCCTCGGCGACGGGGGTCTCGACGCCTTCGCTGAGCTTCTGGGCGATGATGGCCTTGCCAAAGTGCATAAAGACAAGGCCGGCGCTGGAGAGCTTGGTGTTCTTTCCGGGGAAGGTGGTGACAAAGCCGCGCTGGTGGTGGTCGTAGCGCTTCTTGCCGTCATCGTACTCGCCGCCGACGTCGACGACGGTGTGGCAGGTCTCGAGGAGCTTGGGATCGCGGGTGCGGATCAGCTGGGAGTCGTGGTAGGTGGGCAGCTTGCGCAACATGTGCACGGCGAGGGCCTCATCGGCGTGGAAGTGGCCATTGTGGGTGCCGATAGTGACGGGTGACATCTTGAGTCTCTTTGCTGCGTTTTCGGCCATTCGTAGAGGTTTGAAGAAGCGTAACATACAATTAATGGAAGGGAACGAATAATGACGGAGTTTTAGAATAAAAAAAGCGTTTGTGGGAACTGCAGTTCAATGATTTTCAACAAGTCTCTCTCTCACTGGTGAAGGAAGAATTGGAGAGTTTGAGATGTGATAGTCACACCCCGCTTTGACACGCACACCCCACATCCTCTCACCTTGGGAGGTCGCTTATCTGAACTCCCCGCGTGGCTCTATTCTTGACGCTTTTCCCAAGCTCTCACTGGAGAGAAGTGGCCAGGAACGTGCATCGCAGCCTCGTCGTCGCCCTGCATCCGCGCGCCCGTGGAAACTCCCTCCATACTCAAGCAACAGTCAGCCGTAAATGTCATCAATACCAACCCCAAATCTGTCGCGTTGTCAATGGTAGAAGTCATTCGCCATCCGTCATCTACGACCAAATCCCCCCTTCTTCAATCGATCGATACAAACCCCCGAATTACGATCATTTAGCTTCCCTCTACGACTGACGAAAACTCTCCCGTGTCGCCCGCACCCATGCCATCCGCGATGAGCGACGCCAACGGCACCGTCGCGACCCGCGACGTCAAGGCCGAAGGTCAAGAGACCGAAGACGAGGAGAATGAAGAGGGAAAGGCGACATACAAGTCATGGAAGAAGAAGTATCGCAAGATGCGCATCACTTTCGATCAGAAGATGCACGACTGCGAGGAATTGCATCGTCAAGAGTCCCTAGCGCTTGCCACTGCAAAGCGTATCGCCATCGAGAATGAGTGAGTATTTTCTTGGAATCAATTTGCAGTCCCGTGCCAGCGTGGGTTGTTACCGAGTTGTTGCTAATCCTCGGCCACAGTCGCATACTCGATCTGCTGCTCGACATGAACTCCTCGGCTCAACTGCCCTTTGACAAGCGCTTCGATATCTCACAAGACCCGCCCGAAGATACCTCATTCCCACCTCTTGATGTGGACATGTCTGGAAAGAAGCCCGATGAACCTACCAAGTCGTTGGACACACTCCTCAAGGAGGTGCCACATTATACCTACTCCCAAGCAAAGGAGCAGGACCCCACCGTCGTGGCCGATATGGAACCGTTCTCCGGCGAGCCTCACCCTCCTTCGTTCCTGACGGCCGACGACATTGACGACTACATCCACGACGTGGACCGACGCATCGACCCCGATAACCTCCCGACGCTGGCCCCGGTCGCCCGCAGCAACGCTCCTCTTCCGGAGACCAACCCGCACGCCCTTTCTCAGACGATCGCGATGAAGAATCCCACGAGTGTCTACAATTGGCTCCGTAAGCACGCGCCAAAGACCTTCCTACAGGATGCCGAGAATGCCGCACCCGCCGGAGACGAAGAGGCAGCCGAGGCACCTCCGACAGATGGCCGGAGGCGACGCGGCGGCGGCGCGTCAAGGGGGGAGACCCGAGGCGGTCGCGGATCGCGAGGCGGTAAGCGCGCCTCGCTCGCCGCCGTACGAGCCGAGAAAGCTGCGCAGCGAGCCGCGGAGAAGGCCGCTGCGGCGGCCGAAAGGGCTGCCGCCCTGCGCCGTGACGCGGACAGCTACGACCATAGCATGGACGAGGCCGACTCGGACGGTCCCAGCTTTGCGACGCCGGCCACGGGCCGGGGCAAGAGAAAGCGCGCCGGTAGAGACGACGACGACGGATACCGGCCCCGGGGCTCGATCAGCAGACCGACCAAGAAGAAGCGCAAAAGCGAGAGCGCCGACGTGAGCACCCCGACTGTGTCCAAGAGAGGCCGCAAGAGCGAGCTCTCCCGCGACAGAGACGACTAGAAGCTGCGTCGATGTGGATCGCCAAGTTGGTCGTCGGATGATTGATTGTTATTTTTCTTGGGAGGCAAGTCGAGACATCACAGGCAATCAATCGGGCTGGAATGCTTTAGATCATGATTGAGATGGCACTGTATGCTGTGGCCCTGGCTGGGCAGCTGAGAGTTAAAACAGCACAGAAACCTTTTTTCTTTTCCTAGACTTGTACACTACATCATCATGCATCGATGGATTCTCTCTTCTTTTTTCCTTCTTTTTTCCTTCTATTTTCCTTTGACCTGTTGTTCTTTCCCACGCCCAACTGGCGCGCGGCCTCATGAGCCGTGGATGTGGACAGGCTCAACAGAGAGACAGTGAGGACGAGACGGAGAGCTGGGATGCTGAAGCTCAAGGAAACGGCGTAACGGGATTTCTTGGCCGGATCCAGATTGGGATGGGCAAAATTAGGGAGCAGCAATGATACGTTTTTCTTCTTCTATTTCTCTCCTCACATGCACCGCCGAATACCGAGTAATTTGTGAGATGAGAAATCTCTACTTCGTCGCCGAGGGCGGAGATGGCGAAACACCCCACGGGGCCAAAACATCATTGAGCTCATTGGGACTTGCCTCCTTGTTCTCTTTTGTTGGCTGTGAAATTCGACAATTGGTATTTACCAACGGCAGCCGCATCACTATATACAAACAAAGCCAAGCTCTCCATATGCCTTGCGTCAATATGCTGAAACCAAATGATATCAAGTTAACTGAAAAAGAAACCAGAAAGAACAGAGAGTCAACGGAAAATACAGAGAGATGATCCATCATGCTTCTGCTGCTTCGATATGCAAGAGAGAAAACAAGATTCGCATGTTCACCTAGGTTAGATACAGAAGGCCCTCTTCTCCGCATGCGCGAAGGGGGAGCCTCGTAGATCGTAGATCATTCCACCGCCTTTCTTATGTCTTGAGGGTTCGTCTATCCCATGGGAAGCCGGCTTTCGCCCCCTCCTTCTACAGAGTGAAGCGTTTTCTTGAAGTCTACAGGGTTCTTGTTTGTTGTTTTGAACAACGGCGGGTCCTCATTTCTTTCTTTGTTTTTTTCTTTTCTGAATTTATAACTTCTCCTTGAGGATGTTCTTCATGCGGCGCTCAACGGCGTTGAGGTACTCGTTGGTGGTGACGTAGTCAGAGCGGGCAGTCTTGCCGCAGGCGAGGGCCAGGTCCTTGGTCATGATGCCGTCAACATCGACGGTGTCGATGCAGGCCTTCTCGAGGGACTCGGCAAAGGCGACGACCTCGGGGGTCTCGTCGAGCTTACCGCGCTGGATGAGACCGCGGGTCCAGGCGAAGATGGAGGCAATGGGGTTGGTGGAGGTCTCATTGCCCTTCTGGTGCTCGCGGTAGTGGCGGGTGACGGTGCCGTGAGCGGCCTCGGACTCGAAGGTCTTGCCGTCGGGGGTAATGAGGACCGAAGTCATGAGGCCGAGGGAGCCGAAGCCCTGGGCGACGATGTCGGACTGGACGTCACCGTCGTAGTTCTTGAGGGCCATGATGTAGCCACCGGAGGACTTGACCATCTGGGCAACCATGTCGTCAATGAGACGGTGCTCGTACCAGATGCCAGCGGCCTCAAACTCGGCCTTGTACTTGGTCTCGTAGAGCTCCTGGAAGATGTCCTTGAAGCGGCCGTCGTACTTCTTGAGGATGGTGTTCTTGGTGCTCATGTACAGAGGCAGCTTCTTGGTGAGGGCGAGCTTGAAGGAAGCGTGAGCGAAGCCGGTGATGGACTCGTCAGTGTTGTACTGGGTCTGAGCGACACCGCCGCCGTTCTTGAACTTGTAGACCTCGATCTCCTGGGGCTCGCCGCCCTCGGGGGTGTAGACCATCTTCAGAGTACCGTTGCCGGGGAGAACGGCATCCTTGGCGCGGTACTGGTCACCGAAGGCGTGACGGCCGATGATAATGGGCTTCTTCCAGCCGGGCACCAGGCGAGGAACGCGGGGGATGACGATGGGCTCGCGGAAGACAGTACCGCCGAGGTGGTTACGGATGGTACCGTTGGGTGAGAGCCACACTGTTGGGAGGGGAAAGGAACCATTGAGTTAGTCTATGTTCTTTGTACTGCTAGGTAGGGTTGCTTTGGGGTGCTTTAGGAAAGGGCCATTGATGACAGAAACTTTGATATGCGGCCACTGGAGCTGTGCAGGTCCCGAAGACGTGCAGAGGGGGAACCCATGCATTGCGCCGGCGCTGCATCTCCGGAGTGCGGGGAGCGGGAGAATAGACAAGTCCCACGGCGCGAATGCGACAAGTCCGGGGAATCTGACCAGTCCAAGAGCCGGTGGGAGTCTCTTGAGCGGGCACGGAACGATACCGGAAGAAGGGAAGAAGTGAATGGCGAAAAGCCATCCAATGCGCGTCACTTACTCTGCTTAAGCTTGAACTCCTCCACGCGCTGCTCATCGGGAGTGATGGTCGCGCACTTGACACCGACCGAGTACTTCTTGATGGCCTCGGCGGCGTCGAGGGTGACCTTGTCGTTGGTCTCGTCACGGTAGGGAAGGCCGAGATCGTAGTACTTGAGGTCGATGTCGAGGTAGGGGTGGATGAACTTGTCCTTGATGGTCTGCCAGATGATGCGGGTCATCTCGTCGCCATCGAGCTCGACGACGGGGTTCTTGACCTTGATCTTGGCGGCGGCGGCCATAGTGCGGGCAAAGTTGAAGGAGGCGGAGGAGGAGAAGGAGGCGGAAGACTGGGGAACGATGAAGGAGGGCCGGAGTGCAAAGGTTGCGGGACGGCGGAGGAAGCGGGCTGCGTTCATGATGGGCGGTTTGTGAGGCGACGGCGCGCGGGAGGAATTGGGATTTGAGGGATTGTTTTCGGCTTTTCGGTCGGGATGGCGGCGGCGGGGGAGCTTCTTGGGCCGCGGTTACTAGGAGGAGCCGGGTCGTGTGATCCGGTAGTGAGCTTCGGGTGGTGGCGGCGGCAGCAGAAGCAAATGCAACGGCACGATGACGGGCTTACTGCAGGCTGTCAAGAGTGCAGAATGTACGAGCGGATGAGGCGCTTGACAGCTAAGCTACGAACAAGGTGCTGACGATCGCGAAGCTAAGGATGCTCTGCTGTTGGTTTTTTTGGAGAAGGAGGAGAAGGATAGTAGGTTTGCTTGCAAAGGGTAAACAGCAAAACCGCGTGGGAAAGATTGGTTGAGAGGGAGGAGTGAAAAGAGGCAAGATGGCCGGTTGCAATTGAGACCTTGTCGAAGCAGGAAAGGTCAGGAAAAGGGCAAGTCAAGCAAGGAGTTCGAGCAGTAGAAAAACGCAGTCGCAGCAGCAGGAGAAAGCGGGATGGCAGCCGAGCCGAGATCGTCACAGGTGTGTCTTCCGGGGACCGGTGTGTGGGTGTGACGGTGTGAGGTAGAGGTACCACAACAGCTCTGTTTTTGCGGGTATCTCCTCCCAGTTTGTCACTCTTCGTTGGTCGCAAGGTAACCGCTTGTAAGTAGCAAGACTAATGAGAATGCTCAAAAGGCATGGATAGCATCGGCCCCTGGCCAGTCTTGCCTCAAGGGGTTGTGGTCCCAGTCCCTTTCCCTCCGTCTCGGACCTCTCTTCGGCCTTTGCGCTTCTCGGGGCTCAGAATTCTGACTCTGATGAGTTCTTTTCATCATCCTATATCGGCGGGCTCTGGGCATTCTTTAGTCCTTGCTAGATCTTTGGAGCTAGAGAAGGTTTTTGCGATATTTTTCTGATGTGAGTCTAAGAAAGAAATATGGCAAAACACTACGCACAACTTCTTCGCGCAGCCTTTCGCATGACAAAAAGCAATCCGACGCAAATCTTCTGCAGCAACTTTTGTGCTGTTTTTTTCTACAGTAGTTGTCTCAGAAATACCGCCTGTGACCCTTTCCTGGGCCTTGGCCTGTCTCTGCTGTTTGCGGACCAATGCCAATTCGTCATCTGCTCTGAGAGCAACATGTGGAGCAATGCATGAAAACAACGTGATTGGAAGGGTTATCAGGCCTCTCTCTCATAAAAAACACAAAAGGGCCCCCTTGCTACGGATTTGCCCAGTCTTTCCTCCTCTCCCGAATCCCATATCCTCCCACCACACACCCCACATGTTGCCAAAGAGCTTCGTGCGGGGAAAGCAACCAGGAGTCCAGGACAGTCAAGACGAAACAGCATCCCAAAGCTGGTCACCAGATGATTTTGCGCACAGTCAATTGTTTCGTCTGTTGTCAACATTTGCTGCTTCGCTCTGTTGTAGTTAGCTTTTTGTCGGATGGGGAAGTTTATGCTGTGAACCTGAACTTGAGATGAAGGCAAGTTTGATCTTATCAAAGTATGGGGACGGTGAAATAGGCGTTTTCTCGGCATCGTGTCACTTTGGGCTCGCGTGCGGAATTTCTCCTGCCCGCGGCGACCCCTAAAACGCTTCAATCGCATTCGCAAAGAAAGTTGGGTCATACTTCAGCCAGCTTATAGGTAGTCAACCATGTCGACTCTTAACAGAGCCTCCTCACTATCAGTGTATTCTGTGGGTGATCCCCTGCGATATTTTCGAAAAAAAAAACATTTTGCTTTCCAACTGAGCCCCGCCATGACTGCTTTTTCCTGCATACAGCGGAGCTGGACTTGCTCCGATCTCGGTCGCACTAGGCCCGCAGACCCGACCTCCCGCGATAAGATCACAACGATCACCGAAGGAAGCACCGAGGAGTGGAGCTCCATACATTACATAAGCAGCGGGTACCGGTATCCGTCTCATCTCATCTGGTCCTTACCTAAGCAAAGAGTCACGTGTCACTGAGCTTCTCCCAGATGGCGTCCTGTCATCGACCGCTAGCAGCGTCAGCTCAGCATGCACGGTATCAATCCGTCCCTCGCGGCCCGCGGGACCTCGTGCATGTACGACCGACACTCGAGATCAAGATTCACCCTGGCCTCATCCCGTGTATGAACATACCCGAACTTGCGCAGTTGTCATCAGACGTGTAACTCTGCAAAAGGACACACCCCTCTCTCTATGTCTCCGCCCGCCTGACAGGAAGGATGGAAACCTGCAATGTAACAACATATGGTCCTTTTTTGGTGTTCATGGGCGTCTATTTTCCATTCGCATGCCTGTCAGATATCGATAGTTCGCAAAGCACAATGCCACTTTGCCTCAGCTGAAAATACCCTCGACGGTCGTCTTCGTGCTCGTCAGATCTTGGCGTACGGAGTAGTCTTTCTCTGTCTCTCCGTCTCTCTACTCCGTACTACGGATACCTGTCATTACCTACCTGGTATTAGCCCCGTATTCGTACCCTTTGGGTCTCGGACGAGAGGAATATAACGTACAAGGCCGCAGCCGGCCCGGTAATAACAATCGAGGACGGGCTTGCATCTTGCTAGGTACCGCTGTCTGGTGCCGCTGTCACTGCCACACTTTTTGCCCAGCCGTTTGTCTCAGTCGCATCTCACTACGTCTCACTTTCCTGGACCTCTTCAGCCCTATCCCAAGAGGTTTCTCTTCCGACTTCCAAGCCTTCCATGCCACACCCTTCCCAGTTTCCCCCCCTCCAGATCCTCCACATCATCTCACTTTCGTTTCTTTTTTTCTTCCTTCTCTTTCTCAGGAACTTTTTACGTTTCACTACAATCACACACAGCGAAAGGCGGGAGTTTGCAGTTGCGGTCGATCGGAACAGTCGGTCAAGTGTCTCACTCCTCAAGCAGCAAAGACATATATCATAATTCGACCCTGTTGTCTGTCGGTTGTCATCCTTCCGCACCTTCCCACCTGCAACCACGGGGAGGATCTTCACTGCCGTTGTCCGATCCAACTTTGTGACTTTCTCTTTATGCCAATCCCAGCCGGATGCCACCTCACCATGCCTTAAGTCGCAAGAACCAAGCCGTCACGACACCATGAATCCCTACGCCCTTTTGTATCTCGCCCTATTTGTATTGGAGTTTGGCAAAAGTTCCGCCCTTCCTTCTTCTCCCCATCACGAAGACTGCCTTCCTACTGCTAGTAGGCAAACACCAGTGATACAGATAATGATTGTGATAATGACGGCGACGATGATGATGACAACGCACCTCCGCCGATGACTCACCAAGTCCAAAAAGCCGGACAGGCTATAACCCGTAAGGAAAACAATCAAGAAAGTCCAGGGTGATTAGAAAAACACGAAGCTAATGCACAGCAATCCTCACGACGTTTAGTTCCTCCCTTCCCCCTTTCCCCCCGATCCGAAACCCGTATCCGTCACGCCGCCATGCAATGTCCCATCAATCCATGCCACAATTGGCGCTAAACTAATTACCTTACATACCTAACACCCAAAACATCAGCGGAGTCGCGGAGTCGTTGATTACCTAGTGCTTTATGGTCAAGAACCGAGGCCAAAAAAATCAGGTAGCGAGAAACTCGCGAGAAATAAGCCACAGCTTCGCTTCTTTCTCCTTGTTTCAACCTCATTCGTACCGCCGAAAGCATGTCAAAATATTACTGAAGTAACTGTACTAAGCCCGCTCATCCGCATATCGACTTGCATCATCGCATATTCGGTAGAGATATGGCAAAAAAAAAAAAAAAAGAGACCTCTTGATGTCCACTGGTAACACAGACTTGCTCCGAAAAAACCATCACCGCCTCATTTAACCTCGCCCACGCCTCTAATCCGCATAAACGCTTCAATACCCATTCGCCCAAATCATTTCCCTTGCAGCATGGTCCCCATGGCCCTCTTCCTGCTACTCCTCCTTGACTTGGACTTGAACACTATTTTCCTAGACACTAATACTTTCTCGACTACGCCGTACACGTACGCAGACAGCATGGCCGCAAGCCCCGCGCGCAAATCCTGAAATGCTACCTGGGCGCGTTTAGAGCGTGATGCCCGCCTAACGCGCGCGCAGGCGGAAACACATATCCCCAGGCGCTACGGCCGGTGGGCCAGGCAGTCAGATTCGGCAATGGCAAATGGTAATGTCTTTCGTTGACATTGATATTTGTATTCAGTTGAAGGCAGAGTATCCGGATGCATAGCCTTAATGTTGACGTCAAATCAGATAATGCCGGACTCAACGCCGAGCTTTCTGGTCTCGCAGTCTTGTCTCATCTCATCCAAGGTAGGCGAACTGACGGGGAAAAAATGTCAACTAATATTATTATACTACTCCCGTGAGCTGACGGGTTACACAAAAAGTAGAGACGTGAGAAAGAAAAAAAGGCCCGAGGTGGTCCACGGTAGAAAAGGACCATGCACCATCCCATGCCCGCTACCTTGCGTAGTTCTATGTAATGCGCGCGTGTGTATGTACCTCGAGGTATAGTATGTACGTTCGTTCCACCGTCAGCAATTATGTACGGTAATCTGTCGATTCTAAGCCACCACCGCCCGTCTCCCCGCAGCCTGCAGCTTCCAATACAATGTTCCCCCCCTCCCCATTCCATCCATCCCACATCATCGTGTGTCTCTTTCCAGTTAAACAAGCACCGAGAACGCCCTGCCCCATCAATGATCACCATCATCACCATCATCATCACCCATTCCCACAAGGCTGTCTCGGTGACACGGTGTCACTATAGAGAAGCAGAAGCAGAAGCGCACGTTTCACCGCATCCTTCTTCGTCGTCCTCCTCCACCTCGACTGCCACCACAACCACATCCACGCCCGCTCTCTGCTCACCTTACCTTACCTTACCCTAAGCTACCGTTCGATTCGGCAGGGTGGACAAGATAAAGCTCGCCACGGCACAGTAGTGTAGCTTCCTTCCGCGCAGGCAAAAGGCTTCCTTCCGTCATTCCCTAAGCGAGACCTCCGTGGTGTAGGGTAAAGGTAGATGTTCTCATCTGATGTGCGTGCTTAGCTTCCCGCTCCCCCGTCAGCCGTGCGATGTATGTACGTAGATGCATTTCGAATTCAGGGTATCTTTGTCTTTCTTGTCTCGTTGTCCGCCTTTCCTCTCGGTGGATTACTCTGTAATGTCTTTCTGTTTCCAGGGCCGAAATCGTTGTCGTCGTGTAATGCTGTAGTTTGTCGTAATCGTCATCGTAGTCCGTCTCCTCTCCTGTCTTCTCCTCTCCAACCCCCTTCAAAGAAAAAAAAAAGTATGCTGTCGTCCGCATCCATCCGGTTTGACAATACCTCCCCAAGCGATCAGCCCAGTAAGGCCCCGTGCCGCAATGCGAGGAGACCGAGATGCCCGCCCCATATTAAACCATTACAACCACCTCTCATGGTCCCGAATATGCCTTGCGCCACACCTGCAAGCTGCCCCAATTGTCGTATCAATCCGTTCTCCCGTCCCCATCCCCCCCCAATCCAGTCCCAAGACAATTGAGCCATAACAAGACTGGAAAAATAGGCACAGCCCCACCGCCATGCAGAAAACATAAGGAAAAGCGTCTCGCGACGTACAGCCGTCTATCGATCACCACACACCTTGTGGTAACACCAAGACCACTAAGACTGCTAGGCCCAACCACCCTTGCATCCTCCGGCCATGTGCTCCCTGCTTTACGTGTCCCTGCTTGCCCATTCAGAAGAGCGAATGGGTAGCCAAGTAGGCAAAGGTTCCCAGGGCCCAACATCGTCAGATGTGCAGTGGTCAAAGCCACACAGCCTGCATAGACTTCTTCTCGAAGCCTTCCCACATGGGTAAAGCCCGTCGTTAAAAAACAACCTCTTCCACGAACCTCACACCCTGCTGCTCCACATGACCGCCTGGGACCATGCAATCTATGCCCAATCGTATCTAGACTCAGTAGGTAACATCATGGCCTGTTGAGCTTAGGACGGACTGACTTTGCTGCGACTTTTGCTGGCCACCAATTCCGAAAGAGAAAGTGAGCTGCAACAAGGCCGAGTCGTGCCGACGTGATTGGTCGTGCAACCCGACTCTTTGGTATGGTTGCCAACGTCATAAGCTTGTGTTGCCTCAGCCGCACTCTTGTCAGTGGGCCGGACCAAAGAGAGATGTGTTGCCGGGTCGTTAGGAAGCAAGCATGTCGTGTCGGGCGACGGCCCTGGCTCCTGTGCTACGGAACCTAGGCTTCTTTTCGCTGGATGTTTACCGCCGTCTTCCTGTGGGGAAAAGCCACCGGGGCGTCGTTTTCCAAGCTCTTGCAAGTGCGTCTTCACCTCTAGGCATCAGCTTTGCCTGTGGCCCAATGGTGATCCGCCTTCGACGATGGGGCAGTGCCAACGATGACCCTCAATGCCAACCTCGCGCACGCTTGCGTTTGTCTTCACACGGATTCTTGCACTTGGGGCAAACGTGGTCCGGATACGAATTGACATCGACTCTGATCAAGCACTTTGAGCACCGCCACCATCGCGACGAAAGATTGCGTCCTTGGAGCCAGCTGTCGTCCACGTGGGTGCCCCGCTTGAAAATGTCTTCGTTGTGATAGTCTCGCAGGTGATCTCTGAAGTGGTCCCGTCGTCCGAACGGTTCACTCCTTCGCGAGCACTTGGGATAATCGCACTTGTGAGCTTCCTTCTTTGACGGGTCTTGGTGGACTTGTCTATAGTGTCTCTCGAGGTCGGCCTTGCGCTTGAACGGGTTTGCTGTACATCCCGCCTCGAGGCAGGGGAATTTGTAGTCCACGACTTCTTGCTGCTCTTGACCCCTGTGCACAGCATTGTTAGCACCGCTTGACCATATCTATCAGAGGCCTCCATATTGACTAACCCTTGATGTGGTATCACTGTTGGATACTGCCCTGCAGGAACGTATCGTGGTTTCATCTGCCAGTAGCCTCCGTCTTCGGTGGGAACGTAGTCATACTGCGACCAGTCTACGTTTCCATAGTACGGTTCAGACGCTTGTTGTGCCGATGAAGATGCAGCACTGGCGTACTCGTCCGCATAGTATCCTCCATAGCTATCGTCGTAGCTGTCGCCATAATCGCCCGCAGGAGAGTGGCTCATGTTGTGCGTGTAAGAGTATGACATACCAGGCGACGAGCCGTATGAAGATGGTGTAAGAGGACCTCGGGAGCTGATGTCGGAGGGCTGGCGAGCAAGTTCCGGCGCCTCTAGAAAAGTAGGGGAGTCAAGGTAGTCTCCTGCCGATACTGGAGACGTTGCGTTAACATGATAGCTTGCTCCGCGGTAATAGTGGCTGTCCATTGTTTCTGACTTAAACAAGTGAAACTGTCGTGCTGTCTAAACCTTTTATATCCCGGCTTCTGGATAGCAGTTCAGTAAAGGGAGGGTGGTCTCGCAAGGTTGGGGGAGCATACAACATTTAAAGAGAGTAAGCAGTAGCGAGGAATGCCGGGAGCCAAGGAAAATATACCAACTTACATAACTGGTATGTCAGTGTCAGACTCGTGGGGGGGCGGGCTGGTTCCGGAGAGTCAGAAACGTGGCTCACACATAAATCCCCATGGAAATAAGGTAGCTCAGATTGCTGATAAGTAGGGCACAGGTAAGAGTCCTCGTGGCCGTAGGGTTTATAGTCCAGAAAGGAGTGGAAGCCTGTTCGTGAACAGGGTAGGTATTAGGCAAAGTGCAATACTAAACAACAGCAAAGCCCGAGCAGATAGAAGGTTTGTTGAAGTGATTCCCAAATGACAAGCTCACGAATTGGAGGGGGAAGTGGGTGGTTCAAGTATGAGCGGGACAAGGCAAATTCAAGTTTCACCGCCTTGGAGTTGGAAGGAATAAGGTGGCAGCGAGACGTCAAGCGGCACAGATAAACGAGCAGGCGGTAGAATGGGGTCATGGCAACCCACCAGCACAAGGCTTCAACCTCCGTAAGACGGCCTTGGCCATGGGGAGCCTCAAAAGAGCGGGCATGTCGAACGTCGTAAAGCTACATAAGCCCCCGGGCCATTTCCGCGTAGGGTGAAGATGGGATAGAGTTGTCTTGGCCATACGGCGCGAAGCGAGGAAACAACTGCAAGTGCTGGGGTTTCTCCACCAACTTGAACGTCTGATCGAGTGAGAGGCGGTCCTCGGTGAGTGACATGCTTCTAGAAGGGGGCTTAGAATCGCCAGCCACCAAGTCGATGGATTCATGCGGGAAGACATGCATAACTGGCAACCTGGTCTGAAAACAAACCGGCGAGATTCGAGATCAGGTCAGCCCAAGACCCGCCAGATATTCCCATGACGATGCACCGACCTATCACTCGACTGGGCTGGCGGCGGGGTGGTTCAAGAGCGCGGTGCATTCGAGGGGGGGACCAGTTCCGGCTGGGCAGTCAGCTCTGAGTTACCATGAGTGTTTTTGGGCCGACTTCATTGGCAAAGGTACTGGCGACCCAAGACATGTCTGGCAGACCCAACAGATAAACCGGGGCAGAAAAAGGCCCCATCATGGAAATGTTTCTGGTGGTCAGTTTGTACGGCACGGCAGGGTCAAGGTCAGTCAACCCGGAGTTGGGGACTCGAGGTACCGCGTCTAGTGCAGGACCAGACAAGGGGCTCGAAAATAAGCCAGTAAGCTATGAAACCGACAAGTGCGAGATATGTCATGGTACGGCGAGACATTGTCGCTCAGTGGCATAGCAAACTGAATGGTAGCAATTAGGGCGTTGTAGGGCTCGGGCTCGGGGCGGACTTGGCAGGATGCGATGCGGCTGTCGAGATGGACTGAAGATCGGAATCGCGGAGGAGGGGCTTGACTGGTAGAATATCTCGTTGCCTGGCCCCGCACTGCCACACTACTGTGCGCGTGAACGCTTGCAGTCCCAGCCCTTGCTGCTGTGCAGGGTCCAAATGCTAGAGTGGAATCAGCCAAGAAACAATGGTACCGCAAATCATGAAGCCCTCACTGGTCCAATCGTAACCGGGTAGGTGAGGCCATAGTAAGCCTAGGGGGCGGTTTGGAATCCAATGGAGTCTCTCACTCTCTGGCAGAGGACCCCTCTGCCCAGCGAAGCGATTCCCCTCTGGGGCAGGCAATGGATACGGAGTACCGTCGTACCTCGGTTGCTTTCCTGGGAGTGAGTTGCTGTCATGGCTCATTGATGGATTGTGTGGTGCTGCGCAGCGCAGTTGCAGTGCAACCATTGTCACATCGAGGTATTCCATCGGGGGCCAATCCGCTGGATCCGCCGCAAAGCTGCATGTTGCCCACCGGAATAGCCTGAGACCCAGAAGGACTGATGAGTGATGGCCAACCAAGTGAGCCGGTTCCGGGGCAATTCCAGGTCCGATTTCCTGTCTCCTCGGCCAGGTTGCCCCCTCTGAGCGTCCGCCGACCCTTGACGGGGAACAGTGGCACAGGCGGTGACGGCGATGATGACTCTACAAGATAGTTAAGCTTCACCTTTTTTGCGCAAACGACACCTTGCGATGGTCAGGTGTCTTTGGCAAGATAGGTAGGTGACCTACTTCTTGCGCGAATACGGAAAAATCGGGAGATAGCGCGGGCATGCTCCATGTCCGGCTGACGGTCGATGCAGGTTTGGTTCGGTGAAGCAGGTCAGAGAGGATACGGCGATACGAAAAGGTGCCTTGTTTCGTCATGCTGGTGTAACTCAGAGTCTGTTGGATCTTCAAAAAGGCGCATATCGAGTAGTAGCAGGATCCATTCTGATGGGCCCTTTGCTCGGACGAGCCATTTTCTGGCGTAAGAAAACACGAAGTCCAGGTATGCGATACTGTTGGAAGAGGGTTGAGAGACCTCGAGATGTGGATTCGGTCCAATGAGTTGGAGTTACTTGGAGAGGTGTTGGAGCCTCGTGGATGGCCAGAAGAGACTGTGATGACTCCAGGAAAAGGTAGTCATCTGAATAAACCGCTCTGCCAACGGGCCTTCGCTGGGTCCTACCCTTGACACTCGACTGGGTTCACGGTCGCTAGTTGGGAAGGAGGCAAGTTGGCAGGTCCGCGATACCCCCGGGGGGGGGGGAGGAGGAGGAGGAAAGGTGGGCCTCGACAGCCTTCTAGAAGTCTTCCATCGCTTGTGCAAGGCCCTGTCAACTTTGTCGGAAGGTGGTGCTGCATCATGGCCCTCCATTGGGCCTGCCGCCTGCCCCACTAACCTTAAGGTACTTTCTTCTCACGTTCCATCCTCAACCTCGTCACGTTGTGACGCTCTAGATTTGCGGTACCATGTCAGTATGTTCCCTCACATCTGGCGAATCATCACTACCTTAGCAAACAGGTAGGTAAGCACGCAGATGAGAGACTGCCGCTTTGCCCCCGCCGACTCCTTTACGTTACTCTTTTTTCCCTGCACGTACATGTGTCGACGGGACGCTTCAACAACACTGGCTACCCTTACTGGCCTTGGCCCGTCCAGTCATTTCGCTGCATATCGACGTGCCTCATACCTCCTGGTCATGTTCGCCCGGCTTGTGATAAGAGAAGTGGCGGAGTGGTCTATTGCAGAATGTCAATGGTTTGCGCTGGCTAGAAAGCTTGATTGCAACCCTCCACAGTTCCATGCTTCGTCATTGTCGCCTCAGCCCTGGCGTTGACTCTGACCATTCGGAATGCCCACCGGCACATCCATAAACCAATTCGTCCTGGGTGGCTACGTACGTCTAGGACTTGGAGAATCGCGGGGGATAAGGTATTTGCCAACCCACCCGCCGGCGGCTACGTTTTGTGTCACGCAGAGACGGATCCACACGGGGCAACTGTCGGGGTGGCCGGAGCTTCCGAGGAGCCTGGAGGTCGTCTTCTCAACTTGTTTCGGCCGAGCCCGGATCCGGGCGCCGGGGTACAAGCCGTCATCGACTGCCCCCAAGCTCTTAGAGTGTCCAGTGAGGGATGAGTTGTATGGAGTACTGGAACAGGCCATCTACGACAGGGCCAGAACACGCTGCATCTAACCTACCGGGATCTTATTTTGCCTTTATGCTGACCGCCGAGGACAGGGTCCCTGATATCATGGCAGGGCAAACGGCCTTGGCGGTGCCGAAAGTGCTCAATCAAAGGTCACGCACATTACGAATGGGTTGTCTTGTCTTCATGTGCAAAAGCCGAATTGAGGCGGCCTGTAGCCTCCCCTTTTCATAGCCAGTCAATAGTCAGTGTACTTCAACAAAGGTGAGCCAGATAGACCTTGGCTGTATGTTTCCGCAAAAAGAGGCAACGCCGTTCCTCCCGATACCAATGGTTTGAGGCCCCCATCCCAATCCGAGGCTACGCCTGGCATGAAACCCCGTAAACCTTGCTGCCTATTCATACATCGTCCTCGAGGAATTTGTACGCGAACTTGAAATCCGCCTTTCTTCGGTTCATCCTGCCCGTTGAGTCAGCTTAATTACCTCAGTCTAACGTCTTCAAGAAAATAACTCACCATGTGCTTTCGTAGTCGAAGAAGCGGTATGTGCCCTGCTCGAATTCCTCGGTGATGTTCTTTGGCTCTTCGTGACGCTGGAACCAGGTTTGATATTGCTTGTGGAATCGCCAGCTCTGGTCTTTCAAGGCCTTGGCCGCAAGGTATTGCTGGGGCGTGCCTTGCTTGTAGTAGAACACGTAGAAGAGCGTGTCAGGGTCGATCCGTGAGTATAGCCGCGGGTCATCAAACAAAGGGAGTGGCTCTTGAGGAAAGCCAACGCCGGTCGATGTCAATCGCAAATCGGGGCGGTACGTTCTGGGTATATCTGCATCCATGATGTCGGGGCACGTAGCCTGGCTCGTCTGGAGCATGCGTTGCGTGGATGGCGAGTTGAGAGGCGCCGGGCGCTTGCGGGAAGCTTCGAAAGACTCGACGAGGTCTTGCAAAGATGACGGAAGGTGGTATATGGACTCTTCCTCTTCCTCTGCTGTAGGCTTAACCCCATTCGTGGCACCGTTTGTTTGAGATGCTAACTAACGTTAGTGAACTATGAAGCTGATCACGGTGTTGGGCGGACTTACCTTTGGCTGCTCCCGAAGCACTTGCCACAGCCTGCTCCTTTTTCGCACGCTTCTCTGCCTTGGTAGAGACCGAGACGGCCTTTGCGCTTGTGCTGGTGCTTGTACTTGCACTTGCGCTGGCGCTCGCGTTTGCGATTGGTGGTTCGCTTGGGGTTGTTGATGGCGGTGGTACCTGCTTGTGTTCGGGCTCCTTTGCTGCGACAGGATGCGCTGATGTCGTTGCGGGTGAGCTTGTTGCGCTGGTTTTGGACTGCGACCCCGGTGTACTGGCAGTGACAGGTGCTGCACCTGGCGGAGGGGGCAAGGGAGAGATGCCGATCTTGTCTGACGCTGCCGCTGCCGCCGCCGCAGACGCGTATTTGAGGCCTTCGGCAGGTCTTGCGGGGGCTACCGCTGGCTTCATCGTAGGACCGGTTGCTGCGCCATTGCCAATGATTGTCGGCATATGCAAGGTAGCTAACGCAGGCAGTGGGGACTTGTTCTGTGAGCTCGACCTGCGTCCTGAAGCAGATGCCTCTGCTACCGCCTTTGGCTTGGGAGGAGCCTTGATAATTTCTGGCTCGGGTGTCGGTTCCTCCGCTATTGACTGAGCGTCTTGCGATGAGCCCTTGTCGCCATCTTGAGCTAGGCCGAATGCGCCTTCGTCCTCGTCCAGAGCGAGCTCTTCGTACATCTCCTCGTCCTCGACAAAGTCATCGTTCATGCCATCCGAGACGTAATATCGAATCGTCTCTTCAAGTTCGGTAACCTGGTCCGTGTCGACTCCGCCGTTCTCTAGAGATCTTCGAATAAGCTCTAATTTGCCCTGATGCCACTTATGACGTTCGATGATGCGCTCGATCTCGGCCATTCGTTCCGCCTTGGCAGTTTGGCTCTTGCCCTTCTTCATCGTCGCTTGTATCGATTCGGCCTCGGCTTCTAGGGTTTCGATTTGTTGCTCGAGCTCGTCGACCATGCTATTTAGGAAGTCGCTTGCCTCGGCTTTTGCTTGTTCTTGGGGATCGAGCTTGGCTGAAGAGGCTAACCCTTCCTTGGAGTATGCCTTGGTCTTCATAGCCTTCTCTACGGCCTTGAACTTTTCCATTTGCTGCAGAGGGGATTAGCGGGACCGCGGGGAAGAGCTGCGACCGGGGAGTTGGTAGACCAACCGTCTCGATCAACCTTCGGTGCTCCAGCAAAGGAGACTTGTCCTTGATGTCGTTGCTTGCTGCCCATGTCTTGATCTGATCGCGGAGTCTCTGAAGCTTCTTGATTTCGCGCTTGAGGTTGTCCTCCAGCTTCTCTTTTTGGGAGATGTTGTTGGATTGCTCAATCTTTTCGTAAATGGCCTCGAATTCGGCGACGCCTTCCGCCACCTTTTTGAAGCACTTGTCGACTTCTTGTTGGAGTTTGCGTGCCGCCATCTCGTCGGGTTGTGTGTGGCAGAGATGAAAATGCTGAGCTTAATTACGTGTCTCGATACCGACGGGTTGGGTTTGTCGGTTGTGTCAGGTGTGTCGTGATTGACGCTGGTTTTCAGTGAGCTGTGCTCGTGTCGCAGACGGCCGTCGAAGGGGTGATGGGCGCGATGTGGGTGGATGAATGGGGGATTTGTCCCTCGCGTGACGACTGATACGCCGTGTTGACCGGCGTTCGTTGGTTGCGCAATACAGGTTTGCTTGCCGGGGAGTGAGCGTTTGATGGGTTGAGGATGCGCGCATGCAGAAGAAAGAGCTGGATGGAAGATGCTGTGTGGGAGGTGGAGGGTGAAGGTCGCCAATACCTGGAGACCGATAGAGGGTGAAACATGGGGAGGTTGCAATTAGGCGCTCTCAAAGCTACAAAGAGGTCTGTATGATAGGAAGAACCTCACAAATACGTCCCGAATGATTCAATCCTTACCGATGATCATTTTCACAATAAGATGGCTTGTATTGGTAGTATAATAGCATACAAGACCAGCGCCGGTTTCTTTCTATCTATCAGACTGAAGTTCAGGCTACTTCGAGTTCGTCACTGAATATGACACGGACCACTGTCGAGCCCAGCCTTGCCAGCTGTTTTCCGCCATGTTCAGGGATGCGAGACGGGCCACTCTGTAAGATACCTTATTACCGGTAATTCAAGTCAGGCAAGGCAATGTGCTAATGCTATTGGTTTTGCCCTGAGTCCAATGGAAGGAATTTTCAGCAATATTGAAGGGCCGGCAGACAGTAACGCTTGTGACTTGCCAGGCCAAGTACCGATCTGTTGATTGCTTCTCTTTGGTGTGGTTTGCCGCCCGTTTGCCTGTTTGTTACCGACACGCTCGGCTTGTAGCTTGCATTTTCCCGGCGATACAGACAACTCAGCGGTCTCCAGCTGCTCCGTTTGTGCTTTGACTTTATTCTCATCCGGGTTACAGTGTCGGAGGAATCCACGTTCCAGCCTATCAATCGTGTTTGAAGAGCTTGTCACCGAAGCCAACTTTTGCTACTCTTAGTAAGGTCCCTGGGTCTCAGGTAAATCTACTGCGCCGTCTCCAACGTAGGCAGTGGTGCAGTGCAGTGCAAAATGAAAGGTGAGACTGCCTTTCCTCGACTGAGCTTGTACCTAGTAGTGTGAGATAATGATCCCTCTTAGCTATCGTACAGCGGGTGCTCTCTGGGTCAGTGACGGTGGACAACGAAGTGATTTCCTCCATTGGAAAGGGACTTCTTGTTCTTGCTGCTGTGGCTCCCGAAGACACAGAGAAAGATGCCGAGAATCTAGCAAACAAGGTGTTGAAGCTCAGGATGTGGGACGACGATGCCGGCGCAAGGGTGCGTTTGACCAGATCCTGACCATTACAACATTTCCATCTAATCTTGTCTCAGTGGAAGAAAACAGTTCCGGACATTGACGGAGAAATTCTCTGCGGTATGTAGGCTGCCGTTCTGGGCCCCTGAGACGGGCCTTCTCATGACAACTCATAACCCTAACAGTGTCTCAATTCACGCTCTTCGCCAAAATTGTCAAGAACAAGCCGGACTTTCGCCTCAGCGCAGGAGCCGAGGATGCCAAAAGGCTCTATCACCATTTCTTGCAAAAGTTGCAGGACAGCTACGCCGCCGACAAAGTCAAGGATGGACGCTTCCAGGCTATGATGGCCGTGGCTTCCGTTAATGATGGACCGGTCTGTGCCCCCTTGAAGCCAACGACAATTGGTGATTCTGTACTAATTTGAGTCTACAGGTCACATTTGAGCTCAACACAGAGTCGGCACCTAAGCCCTGATCGCTCTCAAAGTCTTCCGGATGCCATTTGCCACGACCCAAGGTACTAATCCAACGTCTCCTGACACAAGGCGGGGATTTACTTGAGCAGAACCTAAGTACGCCAGAAGTGCAGCTTGGATTGTGTTCGTTCGAAGCGTCAAGAAGCGGTGACAAACAGTAATGGACCTGACAGGCGGTCCGCCGCGGTTAAAGATAGATTTGAATGGACACATTTCCTTGCCTTGAACATAGAACTCTGCACATAGATGCAACTACATGCAACTATGTTGGGCTTGTCATTTTTCATGATACCTCAGAACGCAGGCAGAGACATTGCAGCTCAATGACATCAAGGCTGCTTGCTTCAGCTGCATATCTTCCTTCTGCCTCATTTTCCCCGTTTGCCTCACGTAGTCTCTTTGGCCTAAGGTAGATAACCTACCTGCCTACCTTACCTCGAGATGCATCACCTAAGGTACACAGCAGCTAAGGCAGGCACCTAATGGAAAAGCCGAGAGCAGGGTAGGAAAGAGACATCGGTAAGAATAGCACCCTTTGATTGGCCTTTTCTGAAGCTGTTGCTCCTTCCCGGTGAAGCATGCAGGCAGTGAGCAGCGGGTGGTGCGACTGCCCCGCGCACAGGCGTCCGAGCTACCAGAAAGTTCCATCGTACCTCCCCCCACCTTCCAGGTTAGCTCTGAGCTGAAGCATTTATCGTCCACCTCCACCACCAGCGTTCCGAGGATCAAGATATACCTTGCCTTAGGTACTTTCTCGGCTCAATCGTATGAACAACACTTCTCACGTTCAACGTCAATCAACGACAGCTTTCCACTAGCTTCGGCCCAATCGACAACATTTCAGTCTCGCGAAGCTCGTTTGCAGCAACCACATCTACCCCGCACTACTAGATCGAGTACAGGGCCCCAGCCTGATCAACATCAAAGAGTTCAACTTGCACTTCAGAACACGGTCACAATGTCCGCCGAGGGAACCGAGAACAAGGCGGCGCGCTCTCGCGTGTTCTTTGATATTACAGTCGGCGGTAAGTCCGCTGGCCGTATTACCATGGAGCTCTACAACGACCTCGTCCCCAAAACGGCCGAGAACTTCCGCTGCCTCTGCACCGGCGAGAAGGGCCTGGGCAAGTCCGGCAAGCCCTTGCACTACAAGGGCTCCATTTTCCATCGCGTCATCAAGCAATTCATGATTCAGGGAGGTGATTTCACGGAGGGCAATGGTACAGGCGGCGAGTCTATTTACGGCGCAAAGTTCGAGGATGAGGCTTTCCCTAAGAAGCACGACCGTCCCTTCCTCCTGTCCATGGCCAATGCTGGACCCAGTAAGCGCTCTTCTATGCCTGGATTGGGGAGATTGCTTGCTGACAATGCTACGTGCAGACACCAACGGGTCTCAATTCTTCCTCACCACCGTCCCGACGCCTCACCTCGACAACAAGCATGTCGTCTTTGGCGAGGTCCTCAACGGCAAGTCCGTCGTTCGCCAGATCGAGAACCTCCAGACCGAATCAGGCGACAAGCCTCTCAAGGACGCCGTCATTGCAGACTGCGGCGAATTGACCGGAGACGCCGCTCTCGCAGCCGATGTGAAGGCCCCGGACGCCATGGGCGACACCTACGAGGACTTCCCCGAGGACTGTGCCACCCCGCCTGATGCTCAGGAAGTCATCAAGATTGCTGCCGCCTGCAAGGATTACGGCAACAAGGCCTTCAAGGCTGGCGACTTTAACCTCGGTCTCGAGAAGTATCAAAAGGGCCTGCGCTACATCAACGAGGAGCCCGACTTGGAGAAGGAGCCCGCTACTACCAAGGCGGAACTCCAAGCTCTCCGCTTTACCCTCAACAACAATTCGGCCCTGCTCAACATCAAGCTCGAGGCCTGGGATGATGCCGCGAAGACGGCTACGTACGCCCTTGATGTTTCCGGAACCAAGGACGCCGACCGCGCCAAGGCCCTCTACCGCCGCGGCTTCGCCAACGTTCGCCTCAAGGATGAGGAGAACGCCATCAAGGATCTTGAAGAGGCGCACAAGCTCGTGCCGGATGATAAGGTCATTCTCCACGAGCTTAATGCCGTCAAGCAGAAGGCGGCCGCCCGTGCGGCCAAGGAGAAGGCGGCTTACAAGAAGTTCTTCCAATAGATGGAGCCACTCAGCAAGGACGCAGCACGTACCGTACCGCAAGCTAGACCGGTAAGCACGGCATAGAAGCAGTGCGACTGTGATAGCATGAGGCAAAAGTGGAGACTGGTGGATGACGATTTTATGATCCGGGCGACTAAAAATAAGGGAATTCTCTTAATTCATTGGAACAATTTGGGGCGTACAGAGAAGCAGGCACTGGAAAACACAAAGAAAATTCACGGGTAGATACCTCGACTGAAAGTTCAATATCATTATATTATACACATTGCTCGTTTCGTTTTGTTCTAAAGGGAAATGAAATATGTTGTGACGAGTCTCGTGGCGTGAGTGTGAGGCAAGACACGTAAATGCTAGTCATAATATGTCTGGGTATATTCATTCGTGGCCCATGTTGCGACGGCTACCTACCCTCCAACCAACTCAAGAAAAGTTGGCGAGGAAGAAGAGACGAACACGGGATGGGTTGGGTGTAAGAAGAAAGCGAAAAAAAAATAGGGCCGACCCTGCCTCCAACCGAATGCATCAACATGTAGAAACATGTAGAAGGAAACCTTCCCAAGCAGGCTCCACTGATGAACATGTGCAAATGGAGAAACGCCAGAGGTAGTTCAGTCGATCCTTGCCCACCCAAGCCTGCCCTCGATTCCGGCGCAGGTAACAGTAATGCAGAAGAGGCGCTGCCCTTCCGCACTCTCTTGACGCTCCAAGCTGGGCGTATCCAGACATCCTCCTCGTTAAGAATGCAGAGACTTTGGCTCGTCGTCTGACCATTGAAGTTTTTTGGGTTTTGATTCGTATACGTGTGTATCAAAGTAGTGATGAACAAAGGAAAATGAGTGGGAAGTAAGGCACATCAATAGCCAGTGTTCCATGATCGGTCAAGATTCTTGCCGCGTGTCGTTGATGGAGACGACTCAGGTGAATCGCTCCGCGCAAACGGCTTCATGATGCCAGATAGGATATGGCGGGTAGCCCTGCCATTCCGCTTGAGCGTAGCCAAATGCGAAGACGCGTGCTCTGAATGTCCAGACGCTTGCCGCAGGGAGCTGAAATCTCGGCCACGGCGGTGCTCTCGACTTCTTCGCGTAGGAATATCAATCAATACGTCGCTGCCAGCCGACCCAGGTGGTTGGTGATTGTCTTGGTCAAGCCAAATTGTAGACGTGTTCGCTGAGGTCGGTGCTGAGTGGTTGTTGTGATGCGTGGAAAGGCTCATGGAATCCAACATGGCAGAGTTATGCTCCATAGCGTCGGCGAAGTCGGAGGCAGGAAGGGACGCAGTCTCGTGAGAAGAGCCATCCAACTTCGAGTAGCATAGGTCGGCGCGCTCCTGTAATACCAAACACATTTCATTGAAAATGAGAATGTCGTCCTCGCCGCCTACAGGTTTGACAACCTCCCCGTTGCTGATAGGATTGGCCTCAGTCCACATCTTGACCAGCGCTGCGAAATTGCGAGCATGGTCAATCAAGTGAGGCAGTGCAGGGAACCCCTCTCGTGCCGTTGGCGACAGCCGTCCAAGAATCGCGATAGGGGTCGAGTAGGATGGACCCAGGGCCACCTTGTTGCGTTCGACAGGAATGGCACAGATCGTGTCGATGTAGTCCTTGACCGACTGACGGTTGGAGCCCAGGAATTTGTTCATTGGCTCCATCCATTCTTCCTTCTTACCAAACGTAGACAGGTTTCCAAGGGCCTGAAGCGCCTTGGCAACCAGTGTGAGCGTTCGCTGTGCTCTGGGTCGAGGATGATCCCTCAATAGACCAAAGAGCTTGGGACTCAATATCGCCGGGCAGATGAAACGGAGGAACAAGAAGCCCGACACGCTCGTGTAAGTGACGGTTCGTAGCCAGTCGCCATAGCGATCTTCAGCCACGGCTCGTACATATTTAAGGATCGACCGAAGTTCCGGTGGGCATTTCGTGGGCTCCTTGCAAATACATTGCCACACCTCCGTTGTCAGCTGGATGAGTCTTGTCCAATGCTCCTGGATGTTTTCTCCAGGTTTGAGCTTGCTCGGATCGACTTCGCAGTTGGGGTTGGTCTCGTTGATCTCGAAAATCTTGGCTTGCAACATCTGCTCAAGATACTCCTTTCCTGACCGTCTCATGTGAAACTCGAGAGCTTGTGTCAGCAGCGTATTGCCTCGGAACAACAAGTTGGCCTCTCCCGCAAGAGATTTACCCATGTCACGAAGGATCTGCTCTCTGTCACTGGATGACTCCATGGACTCATTCGATTTCAAGCGACTGCTGAATCGATACTTCTTCATCTGGTTTTGGCTGCCGCCAATGCCGTCGATCTCGTCTTCGACCAGTGTTTGCAGCCATTCATTCGCATGACCAGACACTTGGAAGATGTTGAGAAAGATTTCGGAGAGCCGCCGCAGATTGCCAGGAAGCGCATCAGCAATCTGAGCGGTGAGACCAGACGGAAAGCTATGAAGCAAAGTTGACAGCGCCTGGTATTCCTTGGAATGAAGAACAACGAGCTCCTCGTGATGGAGCTTCACAAGCATTGTGCCCATGACTTGTTGTCGTTCGTCATAAATCTCAAGCCACCGCTCGAAGTCTTTGCCGGGTTCGACTTGGTCCAAGGGGATGTCAACAGAGCCGCAAAGGATCTCGGTCAGGTTTCCAGTCTTGGGCAAACCAAGTGATGCCTGTAGTTGGTGGCTGAAACTGTCCAAGTTCCCGTCCACTCTTTTCAGAATAATGGAAAGGAACGGCATAGTCGGCGGAAGGTCCGAAAATTGGTAATCTTCTCGCCAAAAAGGATTTTTGGTTCCAGTCTTGATCGTTGATCGAGCGCGGACCTCGCCATCCAGTATGACTTCTGTCAGGTAGTTGCCCATCAAAGGGTCTGCGTCTTTGGGCTGTCGGTCGATGAAGCCAACGTCGGGAGAACAATTCTTCGGTCTCAGTTTTGCCTCCGTCACCCGCAGACTGATCGTCTTCTCAATCCTAAATATCTCGCCGGAAAGCTCTGACTCCAAATCCGTAACTTCCATCGCTCCCTCGGCTGAAGGCGAATCCAGTCGGAAAATGTCCGGCAACGCGAATGCTCGAAGAAGAACAAACCAAACTTCGAATAATAGGCGATTGTCCAGAGCGATATACACAGGACGGAATATGGAAAGCTGTGTAGATATCGGAGAGTAGTGTGGGAAAATGCCTATGCAGTACTCTTCGTCCAAAACTGACCGGTTCAGCTGTTGGATAGCGCATCGAGATAGTTGGGATAGTTCGACCACGGCGATTACAGCCTCGCCATCTCTCGTGGTGAGTCGGACCTCTCCGTTTTCTTGAAGGAGTAGGGAAACAACCCGCCAAGAAGTAGTCGGCGATCTCAGATCCCTCGTGGAAGGTCTTTTTACGATGGCCCTCGGCGAATTCGCTAAGCCCTTATCCCAAAGTCTTACTTGGCCGACCTTGATGAACGCAGTTGTAGTCTTCGCCGATCCATTCTCGGAGCCACGCCTTCTTACTGCTGGACGCAGGGCGGTAGGCGCAGGACTTCGATTGCCGTTTGAAAGTTTTACTTTTGGAGGTCGAAGTTGTTGCCAGCAGAGCAGAGCTGCAAGCCAGAGATCTGTTTCTTCTGCTAGAAGAGGATGTACTAGAAGATCCAACGGAGGCTGGATGGGACACGAAATGTCCAAACATCTTTTCCCATCAGGCAATGTGACTGGCGCAACTCGACATCCGCGGAGGTCGGAAATGAGGGGGATGTGAAATGGCCCATCATGGCCTGAGTCGAACATCAAGCTTCCCTTCTCTTCGTCCACGTATGCGATACCAAGCTGCCATGGACCCCGGGGGTCAGTTTGAAATTCGATTTCACCTCTCATGCGCCCACAAAGATTTTTCATCATGAGCAGGATGTTATTCGCATTTTCAGTCGGAACGGGAATGGGTAGCGAATCAACGGAAGGCGTTGAGGTCGTTGGCGGAGAAGTTGGCCGGGAAGACTGGCGCTTAATTAGACGTTTTGTCGACAACTTTTTCTCTTTCAAGCTGTTTGCGACACCTAGGGGAATCTCCGAGTGTCGGGCGGGGATGACCGAGGGAAATCCTAAGGACTCAATGGGAGGCGGTGGAGAGCGAGTATCGTCATACAAGGGCTGAGATCCAGAAGAAGAAAACGATCCCACACGCTGGCGGCCCTCTCGAGAGGCAGCATTCATGAACTGCTGGCGTAGTGCGCCGTCCATGGTGTGTGTCCTAGGCCTAAAGCTGCTTTGTTGCCTCAGAGGCGGACTGGTTGAGTTGTTCTCGTAGGAGCTTCCACCGTATGTGTCATTAAACACCATTCCCTGTCGTCTCGAGAAGTCTCCCGGGATAGATCTCGGAGAGGTTTGAGGGGAGTTCGATGTGATACCGCGGGGTATCTGAGGAGGGGCAGTCGGATCGAAGACGGCGTTCGCGGACGGCGTCGGCGAGAGGTCCGGATGATGGTACTCGGGTGTCACGGCGCGGATCGTGGGGTTCGACGGATGGTTAGAGCGGAATGAGGTTCGTAGGTTGGAAATTGAGACGCGTTCCATGCCGCGAGACGACGAGTCTGCGGACAAGTTCTGGTTCTGGGACTGCTGCCAATCGTGGTGCGGCGTAACGTTGTGAACCCCGTTGTGGTAGGTTCGTCCATCCATTCCCGGTGGTGCCATGCTCATTCCATGGTTTGTCCTCATTTGGGGTCCGCCCGCATCTGAGGTTTGGTGATTCTATGTGCGTCCCTGGAATTTCGTCGTCTCTTCAATAGCTGCACCTAAGCGTCCCACCACGTCTTATCTTCCGTAAACTAGCCAGCACGCCTTTCTGCCTCCTCCGAAATTGAGAAATGGCCGATTGGATTCTGCTTCCGAGGATAATGTGTGCGCCACCACTCAACAACAAGCATACTAGTTGCTGGGCGGTATTTCTGCAAGTCGGAAATCGGGTCTTACAGGTGCGAGTCGAGTGCGAAGCCCGTTGATCGGTGGTAACGCTTGATGTCGT